CGGTCGTTCTCAAACACAGGCGAGCCGGGGACAGGCCTGCAACGAAAAACAATATTTCGCGTTTACATGAATTTTTCATCTTTAGTTCCACTTACCCTTTCTACCGCTCATTTTTTCTCCTGTCGTGACAAGATAACCCCAGTCGAGAAAACAAACTGAGCGTACGGGAACCGGCGATCAAGCCGTCGGTACTACGACTCGGCACGAACCGAACGAGAAAGCTGCCGCACACCGTGCCGTAGATGACGGAGGAGGCCTCGGCGGCAAAAACAACGCCGCCACCATCACCGTTGACCGGTCAACTGCCGCTGGGGGTCGTTGAACCGTGCGTTACAGGGCTCCCTGGCGGGAGGAGCCACCCCCCCCCCCCCTCCCTTCCTCCTAACCGGGGGCGCCTAAGTGGTCAGCGATATACGAAGGGCCTCGCGAATGACCCTTGCGCCGGCGGCTCTTCACGCCCGGCTGTGTATAGCCACGCACGTTGGACGACGACAGCATGGGTGCTGCGTGCAGGTCGCCAGAATCGCGATTCTCGGAGAGTTCGCCTCCGCGGATGTTGGAAAAGAAGTAACCCAAGAAGGAACTGCTGGCCGAGCTTTCTAGCGGTGGCGAGAGCAGCAGCCTCGGACGCAAGCTCGGCTGCGAAGTCGTTGAAGTGCAGTCTCACTTCCCCGTAATTGTCGACCGTGTACGTGGCCGCCATTGCGAGGTGGACAAAGCGCGCCGAGAGTGGATCGCTTCAAGCAGGGGGCTGTCGAAGTAGGTAGACAACCTGCGGCCGTGAAACCCGACTGGTGATACGTTGTGCCTGTCTTCGTCCCACACACCCAACTGACGTCATGTGAAGTTTCAGACAGACAGACAGACAGACAGACAGACAGACAGACAGACAGACAGACAGACAGACAGACAGACAGACAGACAGACAGACAGACAGACAGACAGACAGACAGATAATAGATAGATAGATAATAGATAGATAGATAATAGATGGATAGATAATAGATAGATGATTATCAGACAGACAGACAGACAGATATATAGATAATAGATAGATGATTATCAGACAGACAGACAGACAGACAGACAGACAGACAGAGAGACAGACAGATAATAGATAGATAGATAGATAGATAGATAGATAGATAGATAGATAGATAGATAGATAGATAGATAGATAGATAGATAGATAGATAGATAGATCAGAGTTAATGCGAGTATTACTATCTTTTTTTTCCCCCTTCTTGTTTTGTTGACCGACGGTCTTTATGAAAACCTTTAAGAAGAACAGTTCTTTAGATTTAGTTTTGTTCCTTTTTTGACATTTTTCTCTTTTCGCCTATAGTGCAGCAAAGCCAACCAGCTTTCACACTGTTAATCCCATCTTACCGGCATTTCCATCTGCTCATTTGAGCGGCCGCATCACTTAGCCACTTAAACGCAATCGCGGACAGAGTGCACACAATTTGCCAATAGTAACTTTCATTTCAGTTTCCATAAAATGTAGGCGCCATTGATAGGTTTCTCTCATGAAGCGCCGTGAAGATCAACTGCAAACACCCAACTTTGGTTCCCGACTTTCCTTCCTGCATGTATACTCTCAATTTCGGAAAACGGGTAATTATCTTTTTCCTTTTTTTTTTTGCAGCATGCAAGAACACATCAGCGAAGCCAGCTATAGGTACTGGGAAACGATGGCATCGATCCTGGATATAGCACCACCCACAACGGAAATAGGAAACGCCAGCCATGACGATGTCCCCGCGGGCCACCGCTGTAATGAAACCAGCGCATCCCAGATGTGACACAAGGCATGCCCGAGGCCACAATCAGCGCCACCTCAATCGCGCTTCCTTCGCGCGGAGTCATTGCGATCCTAATCTTTGCCCGCGCTGCATGCAACGGCCGAGGTTTTTGTCGGCCATCGAAGCAAACCTCTCGCGTGTATATCGCGTCGTGCCACCGATGCTCTCGAAGGAGAGAGAGACGATAGGAGTCATTAAACGCTAGCGAAAACGGACCATCGCACCGAAGTTTCTTTCCACGATGTGGCGTTGTCTAACGGCCTGCAAGCCCGGGGTGAACCGGCGCTGTAACAATTACGATCCGGTGGCCTCTTTGCCGCTTCTGCGAAGTCCAGACACACTTTTGTTCAACATCCTCGCTCTCTTTACTTACTTTCTCCTTGTCGTCAAGCACAACTTTTTCATGTTTGAACTGTGCAGTGCTATGGGAGCCAAAATGCATGATAATATATAGAAGAGTTTTACTATTCATATAGCACTGCATCAATGAACCGTAACACTATGAACCGATCAACATCGATGAAACGTAACTATATATATCCTTGAGACGTGTTGTAGACGTCCATAAAATGTCTGTCTGTGCATGAGGTGTAAGATTTATACACGGGACGTCTCAGATGAGACATCTTGTATTGTAGCACTGTAGATGTGTACATGTGGTGCATCCATTACTGCTAGAGCAGTGCGTCGATTTTATAAAACTTTTTAAATCTTTTGTATTACACAAAACAGAGTGTTCGTGGACCACGAGTTGCCAATGGACGAGAAGTTCTGCGTGTTAGGCCTAATGTTGCGTCAGTCCCTCTAGAAGCTGCTTATATACTTTAAGAGGCCCGATATTGGATCACTACCATACACATGATACAAAAAAATCAGCGAGAGGGTATCTATGGTTGTGCTTATTGAAGTTTGAAGATGTGGGAATGAAGAAATTAAAGTGGACGAGAATTTCGAGAATTAGATGCAGAGGATTGGGGGGGGGGGGGGGATTAGAACCTAGAACTTCGATACTATGAACCTCTTTCCCAAGCGATTGAATTATGAACGCTATCAATCCAGCCGTCCACATTCCTGGCTGTTTGTGTACGTGCACGGGCAAGATCATCACTATAGATATAGGACTGTTACCAAGAGTCATGCAATTACGTGCAAGGACGCTATAAACCGACGGCACCACTTAGTAAGTGATCTTAGGAACAGGCAACTGGCCAAGTGCGAAAAGTTATTCGTTGTTTTTTTTAATAGGATTGAAATGGCAGTTCAAAGGTGGTGACCGTACTGAACTGTAATCACGAAGCGGCCATAGGTCGAATACCGATCCCTTCATCATGAACACGAACAGCTCTATCGACTCCACTCTTTCATAAGTGACACCTCCGGAAATCTTGCTGCGTGGTTTTAACGAGTATGGATAGAAGAAAAAAAACTGACTACAAATGATCGCGTGTAATGGACGCATTGTCGACGGCGAGCTCGTTTTTACGGCCCCCTACGTATAATAATGCAGAGGCGCCAGAAAGATCGCACGCACCAAGGCAAGTGGGAGCGAGATTCATAGCGCTGTAAATAGTCTAACCGCGGGGCCCGCGCCGTAATGCTCGCACTTCTTTTCGCGGATATTTTCCTCGTGCACTGCCGTCTTTCGTCGATTCGTTCGAAGATCGGTTCGAGAATGAGCGCCGAAGGCGTATACAATGAACGTCGATTTATAGTATAGGTATAGCCTGACTATACAAACATGGACGGAGGAGAGGTGCGCGTGCTTTTCCTCGCACACGTTGTTTCGTTCTAGGCGAGCAGATTTCAGTCGCTGCAAATCATTTCGCGAAGGAGGAAAAAAATGATCGGCTATACAGTCGATTCAGACAAAAAAAAAAAGAAAGCTTCATTTCTGCACGGAGAGGTTTGCAGCATAGATGAAAAAGCGCGAGAGTGCACATATAACGCATGACGCATAAAATTTTCCTTACAATCTGTAATGTAAACCTAGGCGTTTTCTTGTTATTTCTTTCGTGAACGCGCTCCTTAACTTCACCGACTTCACTGCCGACTTGGGCTGGTTTGAAGTCCGCTGCTAGCTTCACGCCGACTTACTCAAGTCAAGTCGAAGGCGCGAGCCAAGTAACATCTCTGCATTCGGGGGTTATGCTTGGCTTGCCGCAAGTATGCGCTTGCTTAGCAATTGTAGCGCGGGAAAACGCGAACAAACAGAAGAAACGCCCGCTGCAGTCAATGCTGTTAAACCAGCAAGCCTAAACAGGCACCGTTCGGAAGCGTGTTGTCCCCCTTTCGTCTGATCTATATATGCTGTGTTGTGGTGTATAATGCAGTCAAATGCGGGGCGGAGTATGGTGTGACGCAGTATGTTGCGGTGTTGTACGGCGTTTTTAGGAGGTGCGTGTTTATGCTGTAGTTTATGGCGTGACATACGGTAATCCCTGCGTCCAAGCATGAAGGCAACGTAGCGAATTACTGCGCGGAGTACTACTGCCTGGTTTAAAGCGGGTGACATTCCGTGATGCTTTGCTCAAACAGCTGGAGTGGATATGTTTTGCATAAGGATAGCAGTTTAAGGGACGGCTCTAGAAAAGGTAGCGAGTACGCTGCAGTGGGTACCCCACTACCGAACTCCCACCTGGTGTACAACTCCCTAATGAGACATGTGAGCTAGCTTTGGTGATTATACTCTCTTCGGAGTTTCATGAGACTTGAAAAAGAGTTAATGTGTCTCTCTAAAGTGAGTCATACACGTGAAAAATGAGAACTAACGGAAAAGAGAAACATGGAATCTTTTTTTTTTTTGAGGTTATGGAGATTTAGAAAGTTATGGATCAGTTTCCTCTACCCCTTCCACTTCCTGCTACAAATTATCTTTTCGCCCACATTAGTTTGGGCTGCTGCCTTATCTCTTAGATTTCATTTAAGCTTAACAATGGCTTCTCGTGTACCTTCCCGAGATTCTTTGTCTATTTGCTTATATGGTAGCGATCATTATGATATTGAGCCTCATAGCCAGCAAGCTATTTCGTGCGCGACTGGTCCAACACTGACTCAGGAATCAGAACATTCGAATCGCCCTCATTTTAATCATATTTAAAAAAAACACACACAAATATTGCCTTTGCACTCAGTGGCAGTCGCCTGCTCGCTTGCTAAGTGCTGTGTGGGTGTGAAGGGCGGTGAAAGTTCACTCACGCCAAGGTGGTGTCCCTCGACGAAGAGCTGCGGCACCACGACGTGCCGTAGTCCCGTGCGGTCCATGATCTCCTTCTGGTGCGTGCGGTTCATGAACACGTCTCGCTCCTCGAAGCGCACCAGCAGAGTCTGCAGCGTGTTGCGCACGCGTCGGCACTGCTCCCAGGTCTGCCGGATGACGCCCATAGAGGTCGTGTACAGCACTACGCGGCCCTCTTCTTCGCGAACGTAGTTGCGCTGCAAGGAGGAACAAAAGAACGATCACCATCAGTCGAGTGACACACCGTGTGCACGTTTGTTATATTAACCAACTTGATTGATTGATTTCGTGGGGTTTAACGTCCCAAAACCACTATTTGATTATGAGAGACGCCGTAGTGGAGGGCTCCGGAAATTTTCGACCACATGGGGTTCTTTAACGTGCACCCGAATCTGAGTACACGGGCCTACAACATTTCCGCCTCCATCGGAAATGCAGCCGCCACAGCCGGGATTCGATCCCGCGACCTGCGGGTCAGCAGCCGAGTACCTTAGCCACTAGACCACCGTGGCGGGGCATATTAACCAAGTCGTCGCTTAAGCTGTTCCACTCTCTTATTGTTTTTGGAAAGAATGAGTGGGAAAAAAAGTATTCAATCTGCATTTGAAGGTAGATATCCTTTTGCTATTGTCACAGCGAGTGGATGCGTAGGGGGGTTGAACAAGGTAGCTATGGTGATTGACTCCTGTGTTCGAGTAATAAATCTGGTACAACAGTTTCGAACACAGAAAGGACACCAGCTACCACTCGAGTTTATTGACCATACTTAACGCCCAACACCTGGGCTATCAAGCCCAGGTGAAGAAGCAGGCTAACATCTCCGGCGTAATTACCAAGAACATTAACTATCTATAAGGGGGAGAGAGGTTCCGCGAAACTCAAAAGCCAGGCGGTATTCAAACGACTAGAAAGGTTTCCTGCCTGCGTACTTGCTCGATTTATTCCACAAGTTATTTTCATTTACCTCAATAGTTTCTATGTTTTATTCATTTCACTCATTAACAGTTGCCGCAGATCTATATGGGTGCAGACACGAGGGAGAAAAGTACAAAACGAGAGGAAAAATCTCACGAAATTATTGAGAAACATAAGTAGCGAGAAAGTGACCGCAGTTCCAATCGAGGCACCAGGAAATAATTAGCTTGATCACTGCGCAGATATTAATTCGGTACAGAGCGGTGGCAAACCTGTACAGCTGATTGTTCTATAAGAACGTTGCGCCAGTTTCAACTATATAGTACCCCCTCTTTCACTGCAAAGACGCGGCCGTATTCTGAAGAAAGAAAGAAAGAAAGAAAGAAAGAAAGAAAGAAAGAAAGAAAGAAAGAAAGAAAGAAAGAAAGAAAGAAAGAAAGAAAGAAAGAAAGAATACGGCCTCTCAATTGCATTGCTGAAGCAGGCATCACACTCGTTTTTTCATGAGAAATTGTTATTGAGCTAGTTGGCAGTTAACCTTGATATAAAATTAATCTAGAGCGAAAATAGCACATTCCCACATGCGCACACCCTCAGACTCACGCAACCAAATTAAAAAAAAAACAAGTACAGCGCCATGCTTCTTTTGATTGCGCGAAAACATGCGTGGACGAATGTGTCATTCTTTCACTCGATTAATTTTATAATATCCGAAGTTGCTTTCCAAGTCCGTGCCATCCATTTTGAGCGTTCATGCCCACGATACTCTTTTAGTTGTTTTAGGGGCGAAGCTCCTTATAGCGGCACCCGTTCGTACCCCGGAGTATGTAACAACTATAACATTTTGACATCCAAGGTGGTGCCGGTGAGAGACTTCTTTTGTGCGTTGTTGAACAATAAAAAATAGTGCTCAATGTACATGTCAATGACTGCTAATGGGGAATAAGAGACAGGAGCATTCGGCTTTTAGTTAACGCACAGGCTGAGATCACCATTAGCAGCCATTGGCATGTACACTGAGCACTATCTGACAAGAAAGGGTTGCTACGTTATACTCGCTGGGCGTAACCTCGTTGGTTTTCGAAAGGTTTAGCGAGCGTTCGGCCGCAGTGCCATGAATACAGTGAACTAGTATATACCATGAACTCGAGGTGGTTAAAGGTGGGAAGTGGACCCGAAGCGCAAGCCGTAAGAAAGGGTGCGTGTGCCACCTCTCGTTTAGTCCTTGGAATGTCCGCTGGATGGCGGTGCTTCTATATGGGGAATATATGAAGAAAAGATGCGAGATGGTGGTACTTGGAGTGTTGAATAGATGGACGAACGGACACATAGACAGATGCATGGATGGACGCATGAACGGACGCAGGGGCGGCTGCATGGACGAACGCAGGGACGGACGCATGAACAGACGCACGCATGGACGGTCACACTGACGGACGCATGGACGGACGGAAGCAAGAACGAATGGACGGACGAATTCTTCGCCCCACTCTCCATCATTCACTCCGTGGATATGCTGCCATTTTTTTCAGGCTAATTTCAGCTCCTTGATAGCGCTGTAGTGTACAAGTAAACCGAGCGAAGCGAAGGTGCACGGCACACATTTGAAATTCACCTCGCGCAGTTAAGACAAGAAATTTCCTTGAAGGCGAGAGACTTGGGTGCCTCAGCAAACACAAAAATTGACCGTCGACACCTGTGTCGGCGACGGTAAAAAAAATGTGACGTCAACATCATGACGAAGCTATGGCGTAATCAAGACGCGACGTCATCACATGACATTGTTGTTTGTTCAAAAGGAGGGCCGATCCACGGCGGAAACGCAAAAGCAGATGAGCTGCAGAAAGATTGCAACGCCTGGAGACATCGCAGAAAGCTCTCGAGGGGGGAGGAGAAAGGAACAATTCATCGACTGAGAAGAAAAATAATTCGGCTTCCTCTTCAGAGTCGTCTTAGGCGCATGCGTGAGAGACACCTGTGAGGATTTGCTTTTTTTTTAATTTGTTCTCGCACGTCTGTTTCAGGCTGTCGCAGCATTCGCGGGTCGGCGCATCACCTTGAACACACGCACGCAAACACACACACATACATGGACGCATCATCAACGAAGCGTGGTTCCGTGCAGGCGCGCCACTGGTGCGCCGTAAACAAAAACAATCGGACGCCGTAAACTCGTTCTGAAGACCGCTTTCGCCTATAGCCTGCACTGCGACTATGGGAGCCGCCAAGCACTTGCCTGCCTGCAGGCAGGCAGTCTCACACACAGCTGTATTCACACAGACTTGTGTGAATACAAACAAGTCTGAAAGCCAGTTGGGCTGTGCCGACTTATAATACGCGCTTCGCAGGCCAGCGCAATCGTCGCAAGACGTCATTAACTTCTCGGCGTTTTCCAAAGGAACACGAACAAAGAAAAATGCCGAAGTCAGGAAGGGGTCTGCACCTCAAAGCAAGTGAGCCTTGGGTGAAGGATGAGAGAAGGGGGCGTGCCGGACGGGCCTTTTCCGCCTCAAACAGAGCAGAACGGTGCTTCCAGAGCAGTTTCCAGGAGGAAACGGTGTGGCCATCAGCGCACCCGACCAGCCGTTATACGGCCATGTGGCCGAGCTCACGGCGTACAGGACTCCGAGGCGGGCTTCAAGAAAACGAATGTTATAGATCAAAGAATCCACGATACATCGATCGGCTGATATAGGTCTCGCAGAAGTACGTGAATGCTAATATTTCTGCATCTGATTACGCTGAAGGTACAAATGGCAGACCGCGTACTATCTCTCGTATTGACAGCACACTCTGATCGCAGTGGGTAACCGTATTGTTTGACCAACGCATTATAGCTGCCAAGATTGTGTACGTACGTACGTACGTACATACGCATGTATGTATGTATGTATGTATGTATGTATGTATGTATGTATGTATGTATGTATGTATGTATGTATGTATGTATGTATGTATGTATGTATGTATGTATGTATGTATGTATGTATGTATGTATGTATGTATGTATGTGCGTGCGTGCGGACGTACCAAAGCGGCGGACAACTTTAGTGAGGCATCCTCAGGCGGTGACGTTTATGCCGGATCGAGCAATTTTTGGAGTGGCAGGGTTGCTCTAGATATTGTAAAATGCGTGTCATGTCTAATTTTATCGTGTCTTGAATTAATCAAAAAGGGCGTTGCTATTTTATGAGCCAATAAGATGTGACAAGATGGCGTGTTCAATAGCGCCCAGTATAGCACACCTAATATGTGCTATTTTGGACGGTGTCAAATGCCACCAGACTGCCAAATTACGCCATGGCGGACTTCCGGGCCAATCAGAGTTGACATGGCAGATGTTAGCGAAGTCCAGAATAGTAACCCGACAGAAGAGAGTTCTGCACTACTATGTTCAGCTGAAGAGGCTAGAAAGATGACCGCATATGTCATACTAGTACGAAGCTGTGGCTGGGCTCTCCAAAGCGAGAAGGGATGCATCTAATCTAAGCCAGTGCCGACTGCGCGCATGGCCGAATTCAGTGAGGGAAGGGCGGACCACGACTGACCTCCATTCACTTTATACATATTTTCGAAAAAAAGAAAAGGACCCTCAACCAAGGAGACAAGTAAGTACTCGCGCATGCATAAGTTTGGGCGAAGCTCTGCAGTCTTCGTCAAACGTCGCTTCGCTCTATACCAGGTCACCGAACATCAGGGAAAAAGTCTATCGCACTCGAGTGCGGGGAGGAAATGTAAAAGCGTAATGGAATGATGAAGTGAACGCTTCAGTGGACGCGAAGGGCCCTATGCAGAGCTGGAAACTCGCTATAGGCAGAAGTAGGTCCATCATGGCTGCGCCAAGCGTATAAGCTCATTTCGGCGCAACGCAAGCGAGACCCCCCCTGCTGATAAGCGTCGTCCCCTTAGACAGGACAAGCCTTGGCTAAAAATTCTAACTCGCTCCTCCGCGAGAAACGACCGTCTTTTGTTTAAAGTAGTCGAGGCATCTTGCACTTTTCGAACGTTGTCCGAATGTTTCCTTTCCCGTGCTGCATACTGCACATGCACCGTGAAGTGCCAGTTCCTTTTTTTCTTTTGAACGCGCACGACATCTAGGAGAGGTTGGGGTCATTAAATGGCGCTGATTGCCCCTAACAAACCAAATGAAAAAAAAATATTGTAGTGAATGGCCACAAACATGACATAGACCATACACAATGTCGCCACCAAAGTTAATACTACCCCACATAAATGAAACACTTTAGTCTTGCAGTCAAATCATAAGCACTCCCGTCATAAT